GGGGGGGGGGGGGGGGGGGTTGTCCCCCCTTGCGAAGGGCTCTGTCGTTTTCCTCACCTGCATGGAGTCAGGTGCTGTGCCTCTCTGTCCTTCATGGAACCTGGATCTCTCATCGCTGCGTGTTCTCCGTGTCCCTCCTGCCTGCCCGTGGTTCCTATCGCATGTCGGGGGAAAAAGATGGGAACGTTAGTGCCCTTTGTGTCCGTGGCCCCCCCCAGATCACAGGTCCGTCACCAGGCCGGAACGCCGGAACGCCGGAATGCCGGAGCCCGTGGTGTGCGGCAGGCAGCCAGACCCCACACAGGGGCCTAGAATCTTCACACAGAACCCGGCGGATTTCCCCCCCCATGGAGCCTGCGTTCCGAGCGCTCCTCCTCATTCTCCTTTGTCCCCCCTCCCTCTCAGCGCAAGGTCCGTGTTGCGGCTGCCTCGTTTCCCGTAACACGTCCGACCGCCAGTGCGGGCTGGGGGAGGGTGTTTGCCGTTCTACTGTTTCAATTTTTTTTAATTTATTTTCTTAATTTGTAATTAACCTATTGACATCATTGTATTTTAACCAAACGCGTCACACTGTATCTTATTGCTTTCCTTTTCCTAAGTACACACATGATCATCTGTCTTAGGATCTAATACAATTTTAATTAAAATAGTCAGGAACAGTCGTGTTTAACCGTAAGCGGCACCGTCAGCGACTCCCAACCCGCCGTCTGCGAGGGCCCCAGACGTTACGGACAGACGCCGCACCTTTCCGTCGTTTAAAGCTCACCCCGCATTCATTTGGCATCACCGAGTTGTTTATTCACTGGACGCACCGTTCAGCACAGGGTGTGGCATCGTCAGCGTAACGACCGGGCGTTATAGTTGAAAATAAATAAATAGGATTAACTACTTCACCCCACAACCCTGAACCGGATAAGCAGGTGGAAGATGGATGGATGGAAGGATGGATGGATGGATGGATGGATGGATGGTTTATCCATTGAATTGTATAACTCATTTGATTCGGTATGTGAGAAAATGGCTGTTCTTGATTGAAACATAGGAATTTTACTTCGTCATTCTGAAAATATATTTTACCTAAAATATTCTCACAATCAGTTTCCTGACTGACGGAACTGAGAGAAATTATCAGTAATGTTTGCCACAAAAGCTGTACTTTTAAATGTTGTTAAATGTCAGCTGAAATAGACGTGTCACATTTAAACCGCGTCGTCACTCTGATTCAGTCACTCTGATGCATTTTAACCAGTATTTAAATGAACCATCTCACTGTCTCTCTTTTACCAAATAATATATTTTATTTATCAGAACAATTAAATTTCATCATCATCATAAATATCTTCCAAAAAATACTGATAAATTTATTGTATTTTTTCATGAATTTTATGAATTTCTGTCTGACAAAATATTCCTTTTTACAAATTATTTAACATAATGCAATTATACAATATAGGTGAGGCAAAACATAAGACGAAGACAAAATGACAAGAAATAATTTCAAGGTAAATTCACCACTACATATTGTTAATATAGTCATTGTAGGTTGTTAATATATATATATATATATATATATATATATATATATATATATATATATATATATA